AGCTCTTGCTTCTTGAATCTAGATCCTGGATAATCTCTCTTGTATTTGCACTTGCTTATTTCAATAAAAGTTGTTTAATTTCATCTCCTCTTTCTTATGATGTCTCTTTTATTGCATTTGCTTGTGTTTACATTCATGTGTAGTGAGTAGTTACCCATTGGGGTTTGAGATGGGATAGATTAGAGGTTTCATATGCTTAATCCTTCTAGCTTATGGTCTTAATCTAGATTCTCTCTCTTTTGGATAGATCTTAAGGCTACATGACCACTACCCCTGGCTTGTAAGTCCTTAGGCGACTCCCCACACGAAAGTGATGGCATTCGCTGGAAAAGATCCACTAAGAGCTCCAATATCTCTTGCTCTAGACATAGAGGTCTAAGGGGTTGGATGGATTAGTTTGGGCAATGATCCTATAGCCTCCAAGGTTTGATTCTCACTGGCTAACCCCCTGTTTCTGAGATCATTCCTTGGTTGATAGCCTCCACCTTGGGAAAGGGTTGGCTAGGCATTGAGAAGCCCAATATCAAGAGAAGCCTTGATACAAGGAGTTTTAAGAGCTAGATTGATTAAGTGTAGATTCCTTTGATTGCAAAACCCTGTCTTGAACCCTAATTCTCTCTTATCTTGTTAAAGTCGTCACCTTTAGCTTTGTTTGTCTCAACTCGTCCCTAAACTCGATCGAGCTGGTACTTTGCTCTGACTCGACTCGAGCTCTTGGTCGAGCTGACACTTCACTGCTTTGTTTACTTTTATTGCACTGCTTTTCATTTTATTTAGGTTGTTAGTGTTACTTCAAATTACTGCTTGCTTGACTTCCTGGTTGTTTCATATTCTCAAAGAGTGACAAGTTTCCCATTTTGGATTGATAACCCTTTGTACTACATCAACTATCATGGTTAAAGGGAATTGTTGACTGTGTTTGTGTTTGCATCTTACCACCTCATCATATACCACTGATTGCATTCCACTCATCTCATTTCATATCTTTTCACATCCACACACAAATCCTATCATCAATTTGGCGCCGTTGCCGATTTGGGAATATTTTTGTTGCATTTGAGTTTCAAACACACTTGGACGATCAAGCTATACCACCCTGTTCTATTGTACTGCTGGGTTTTTGTCTCTTTTTGCAGGTGTATGCGAACTCGATCGAGTCGGTCTACAGAGGACTTGGTCGAGCTAGACTTTACAACGGGTAGAAAGAGGGTTCAGAGGTCACAGAGGGTACAAGAGGAACCTGAGGTGCTTGTTGCTGATACAATGGACGTACCAGAGGGGAATGGAAACCCTTTGGGCAATGGACTCGGTCGAGCTAGGCAAACTCGACCGATTGGTCAAGGAGATGCTCCAAACCGCCACCAACAGAGACAAGGGATTGTTCCACCACCAGTGCAGAACCACAACTTTGAGATCAAGCTGGGAATGATCAACCTTGTCAGAACAAGATGTTCCATGGATTGCCAAGTGAAGACCCCATTGACCACCTTGATGAGTTTGATAGGCTTTGTGATTTGACAAAGATCAATGGTGTCTCTGAAGATGCCATCAAGCTGAGACTCTTTCCTATGTCTCTAGCTGACAAAGCTCACCAATGGGAGAAGAGCTTGCCCCATGGCACAATCACCACTTGGGATGAATGCAAGAAGGCCTTTCTTGCTAAGTTTTTCTCCACCGGTCGCACAGCCAAGCTTAGAGGAGAGATATCCAGCTTCATCCAGCGAAACAATGAGACATTCGCAGAGGCTTGGGAGAGGTTCAAAGGGCTACACAAGTCAGTGCCCACACCATGGATTCAACAATGAATCACTACTCTCCACTCTTTATAGAGGATGCTTGCCTAGGTATAGGGAGATGCTAGACACAGCTAGCAATGGGAACTTCCTCAACCAGGATGTAGATGATGGCTGGCAACTTGTGGAGAACATAGCTAACTCAAATGGAAGCTATGGAGAAGAGTATGATCGCACAACGGAGCTCGACCCACCACTCGATCGAGTCAGACGAAAAGTTGAGAAAAGATGTTAAGGCATTGAATGAGAAGTTGGATAAGCTGATCCTAGCTCAGTCCACAATGAAGAAAGTCAACTTTGTGTCTGCTGAGGAGATGGAACCAGTCCAAGAAGGGGAGGATACACAATTTGCTGAGGTGTGCTACATGAGCAATGGGCAAGGAGGTTACAACAAAGGATACTATAACTACAAGTCCAACCCTGCCATGTCATACCGCAACACTGATGTTGCTAACCCTCAGGACCAAGTATATCCTCAACAACAAGCAGCTCGATCGAGTCAGGTGCCACAACATGGGTATGGTCAAAAGAACAATTACCAAGGACCACAAGGCACTTTCCCTGGACAACAAATGAATATCCCACCAGGCTTCCCCCACCAACAGCCCCAGCCTGCACCTTCACAAGAGAATGAGCTCAAAGCAATGTGAGAACCCCAAGGAACAGTGCAAGGTCATCTTCACTCAAGAAGGACTTGTTGAAGAAGAGGATCAAGAAAGGGTCATTGAAGATTTTTGTTTACTGCTGAATGATGAAGAGATTGTTGCTGCTGAGGCTCCTGGAGTCCAGATTGATCAACCAGAAGTGCATGCACCTACTGTGGCCATTCACACTTCACCAGTTGAGCTCGCACGACAAGCTCGATCGGCAGCTCGATCGAGTCCAACTCTAGCTCGATCGAGTCCGACCTCTTCTGTCCGACAGCCTGTTTTGCTTGATCCTTATCAACCGGTTGCCGCTTCCTCGTCTCGCCTACTTAGTCAAGGTCACAAGGAAGTGATTCACAAGTTCAGAAGAGATCTCAGTGGGATTGGAATTGAGTTGCCTCCTATGGATAGCATGAGTGAGGCATTTGATCAAATGCAAATGGTCAAGGATGTTCTAGCCAACAGTGATAAAGTTTCAGAAGTCCTACAAGAGTCTACTCATCAGTCAACCTGCTTACTTCACCCACCTTCCTACCAAAGGTCAAGATCAAGGGAAATTCACTCTCCCTTGCACACTTGGGCATCTTGAGATTGACAATGCCTTAGTGGATTCTGGAGCAAGCATCAATCTGATCTCTCTCTCCATGGCAGAGAAGCTAGGCATAGCTGGAGCCTTGCAGCGCCCTACTACTTCAATCATGTTTGGAGATGCAACTTCTAAGTCTCCTCTTGGAGTGTTCAAGAACTATCACTTGAAAATTGGAGAATGCATCATCAAAATTGATCTCACTGTGATGGAAATGGAAGAAGAGAAGGATTTGCCTTTGTTATTGGGAACCCCTTTCCTTAGTACAGTTGGCGCTTCAATAGACTTTCACAAGCAAGAAGTGATCCTTCACAAGGTGAATAGTTTTGTGTCATATCGCTTGCAGCCCAGAGGTTCAGATTTTTGTGCAACAATTGACAGTACCACTCTCAGTTCTAAGAGTCATGGAGCTACAAAAGTTGTGAAGGAAAGAGTTGACAAGGAACAAGGAGTTGGGAAGGATAAGGATGAGAGAGGACCAAGAATTGAGAAGCCACGTCTTGAGAGGGCTAGAGTTGAGAAACCACGATCTGATAGGCCAAGAGTTGATAGACTTGTTCAAGACCCTTGTGTGCTTGATGAAGAGAGCCTTCAAGCTTTTTTTGATGAGCCACTAGGAAGGGCACTAAAAGAAGGGGAGGATGCAGCCTCTAAGGCAAGAGCAGGTGATAAAAGAAAGGATCCACCAGCGCAGGCCCCTTCAGTCAAGCCATCTCAGCTCACAATGACTTTGTTCCCCACCATCTCAGCTCACAATAGGTGTCAAAGGAGCCAGCTCGATCGAGCTATCGGTCGAGCTAGAAACCAGGGCAACTCGATCGAGCTACACAACTCGACCGAGCTAAGTTTTTGAATTTTAAATTCATAACCGTTTTCTTGGTCAAGGGAGTGGGTCCCACAAGCTGATTTTGGTCCCCCACTACCCTAATTTGATCAGAGAATTCCTAGCTTCTTGTTCCCTCTTTATTTAATCTTTTAATCTCAACCACACATCTCAAACACCACTCTTCCCCATAACTCGATCGAATCCACCCTCTCTCTCTCCCACAATCTTAAAATTTCTGAAATTCATCCATCTCTCTCTTCACCACAAGAATTTTTTTTCGAATTCCTCCCTTTCTCTCTTAAGTTTTTGCAATTTCCTCTTGTGCTTCACCGATTACGTTTGGGTCCTAGCTTACTGTTCTTAATTCATCATTCAAAGCAAGGTATGAACCCTAGAACCTTTGATTACCCCACCTCGATTTCCATTATTGATTATTTTCTCTTTGATTTTTGATTGCATGTGTCCCTTGTGGACTTGTTCTTGATTAATTACCCTCGTATTTCGCCTCTGCTGTATAGTCTTGTTAGTTTGTTTCACCTCTCCTCTGTTTTGCCTTTAAACTTTTTGCATGTGCTTGAAAGTTTGAATTTGAGTTTGGTATTGGTTAAGGTGCTTAATGCTTCACTAGAATTGCTCATTGTTCCATTTACTAGCTGTTCCTGGTTCAATTTGAATGATTAGCACCTTTTCCAGCTATTAATTTTTGAATTAGGTTTGGTTATACTCTGTTTTCACCCAACTCGATCGAGTTTGTCACTCGAGTTTTTTGACTCGATCGAGCTGAGTGTCGAGTTGACCAAACCGATCATTACAACTCTAATTCTTTGAAATCATTGATGCATTTCAGGTACTTTAGTGAAGAAACAGAGTAACAAGGATGAAAAACAGTGAGGGAAGCCGTGCTTCACAAAGGAGAATGGTGGAGGGTGAGTCAAGCAATGCAAGAGAAACAAGGCCTAAGATGCAAGCCGATTTGGAGAAGATGAATCAAAGAATGGAAAGGTCTGATGCAGAGGAGTATGTCTACTCTGAGGGACATCTGAGAGTGAGAGGCTGAGGGAAGAAAGGAGAACCAAGAAGAGGAATGACCCTATAAGTAGTGAGAGTGAGCAAGGAGAGTTTGAGATTGGAGTGAACCTTGTTCAAGAGGGGGAAATGGCTCTCCAAATGAGGAAGGCAGTGAGGAAACTGAGAGTGATGAGGAAGGAGAAGAGGTGAACCAATTGGTTGATGAAGATGACCAAGAGGGGAACCAAGATGAGCCAATGGAAGAGGCTGAGGCAGAGCAAGAGGAGGATGAGCTCCCCATGTACCAAGAGCACTACAATGCTCTCTTCTCCATGGACTTTGTGGAGACTAAGCACCCACACGATGACACCATGAGAGATCTTGGTATCTTTGAGGATGTGGAGTTGGTCAGCTCGACCCTCAGCTCGATCGAGTTGAGTTTCAGCTCGACCCGTCAGCTCGATCGAGTTGAGTTTCCTCTGTTTGGACTCGATCGAGTCCGGTGGTCGAGCTGGAGCGTCTGGCCTTGGAAGTCTTCCTCCTTCTCTGCGTGTTGTCTTCTCCTTCCCTTGGCTCGAAAGAAGAGGCTCTGTGAGGCTCTTGGGCAGGGAGCCTCCTTGGAGTGGTGAGGAGTGATCTACTCCTAGGGAATGTGGGGGCCTTGGACTTCTTCTTCTTGCTTGAAGAACCAGAAACCTTCTTCTCCAAACTTTTGATCTTGCTCACCATCTTGTCCATGGACTTTTGCATCTTCTCAATGGCTTTCCCTTGCCATTTGTTGAACTTTTGGAGAAGTCCAATCCTCTTGTGAGCAGCCACAACAGAGGGGTTCATCCTTGGAGCCTCATACTCCTCAAAGTAATAGCACTCAGGCTCACCCAAATCAGCTTTCCTGCACTCCATCTTCAGCTTGAGTCTCAGCTCGATCCTCAGCTCGATCGAGCTCGATCTCTTCTTCTTGCAAATCCGCTTCATGCCCAACCAAAGTGTACACAGGGGGTCTGAATCAATGTTTGTACCTCCTAGGACCGTGGTGAGCTCAGGGTTGGGCAGAAGAAGCTTGGAGAGTCCAGCCGTGGGGTGGGTGAACTTGAATTGGAATCTCCCATCCAACTCCTTGTGCTCAATGAGGAGGTTGGTCTTGCAAAACTTGATGTCCATCCAACCTGGTGGAGTAGACCTTCTCTTGTCCACTTGAACTCCTGCTGCACAAAGAATTGGTGTGATCACCCCTCCAACACTAAGCTTTCTTCCTCTTTGGTGCCTAGTGTTGTAAGCTGTGACCTTGTAGGCTTGGAGCTGCTCAAGGAGAGGCATGAGATTCCCTGCGTGTGCCCTGTCTCCTCTGATCTTCTTCCCATCCCTAGTTCGTGAGATGATAGGCTTGATTCCCATGGTAAGGAGCTTCACTTCTCCCTCATTGATTGTTCCAGTGGCTTTCCTTGCAAAGAAGGTGTTTGCAAGAGCCTTGTGGACATATCTAAGCACAGGACTTCTGATCTGGGCAGCCTTGGACCTTGAGGAAGAGTACCCCTCTTCAGCTATTGTAGCCCATACTCTTTGGAGTTCTTTTCCTTGATGTTCCATAGGTTTCCTTCTCCATAGGTGAACCCAAACAGTATCTCAAGCTGCCTAAAGGTCACCATCTTCTTCTCTCCCTTTGCCAAGAAAGTTATGTACCCCCAGCCTTGGTCCAACTCAGCTCGATCGAGCTCATCAAACTCGTGATGCTTCATCGACGCCAAAAACTCACAAGTCAACTCCTTGTAAGACTCCATGCGGTGAGAGAAGAACTTCCCCAATTGCATGTTCTTGAGCACCAACTCCACATCCTCAAAGATCCCAAGGTCTCTCATGGTGTCATCATGTGGGTACTTGGTCTCCACAAAGTCCATGGAGAAGAGAGCATTGTAGTGCTCTTGGTACATGGGGAGCTCATCCTCCTCTTGCTCTGCCTCAGCCTCTTCCATTGGCTCATCTTGGTTCCCCTCTTGGTCATCTTCATCAACCAATTGGTTCACCTCTTCTCCTTCCTCATCACTCTCAGTTTCCTCACTGCCTTCCTCATTTGGAGAGCCATTTCCCCCTCTTGAACAAGGTTCACTCCAATCTCAAACTCTCCTTGCTCACTCTCACTACTTATAGGGTCATTCCTCTTCTTGGTTCTCCTTTCTTCCCTCAAGCCTCTCACTCTCAGACTGTTCCTCAGAGTAGACATATCCTCTGCATCAGACTCTTCCATCCTCTGATCATCTTCTCCAAATCGGCTTGCATCTTAAGCCTTGTTCTCTTGCATTGCTTGACTCACCCTCAACCATTCTCCTTTGTGAAGCACGGCTTCCCTCACTGTTTGTCATCCTTGTTACTCTGTTTCTTCACTAAAGTACCTGAAATGCATCAAAGATTACAAAGAATTAGAGTTGTAATGATCGGTTTGGTCAACTCGACACTCAGCTCGATCGAGTCAAAAAACTCGAGTGACAAACTCGATCGAGTTGGGTGAAAACAGAGTATAACCAAACCTAATTCAAATTAAGAGCTGGAAAAGGATGCTAATCAATCAAATTGAACCAAGAACAACTAGTAAATGGAACAATGAGCAATTCTAGTGAAGCATAAGCATCTTAACCAATACCAAACTCAAATTCAATTTTCAAGCACATGCAACAAGTTTAAAGGCAAAACAGAGGTGAGGTGAAACAAACTAACAAGATTATACAGCAGAGGCGAAATTAACTCAAGAACAAGTCCACAAGGGACACATGCAATCAAAAATCAAAGAGAAAACAAGCAATAATGGAAATCGAGATGGGGAATCAAAGGGTTTAGGGTTCATACCTTGTTGAATGATGAATTGAAGAACAGTAACTAAACCCAAACGAAATCGGTGAAGCACAAGAGGAAATCGCAAAAACTTAAGAGAGAAAGAGAGGAATTCGAAAAATTTCTTGTGGTGAAGAGAGAGATGGATGAATTTCAGAAATTTTAAGATTGTGGGAGAGAGAGAGGTGGATTCGATCGAGTTATGGGGAAGAGGGGTGTTTGAGATGTGTGGTTGAGATTAAAAGATGAAATAAAGAGGGAACAAGAAGCTAGGGATTCTCTGATCAAATTAGGGTAGTGGGGGACCAAAATCAGCTTGTGGGACCCACTCCCTTGACCAAGAAAACGGTTATGAATTTGAAATTCAAAAACTTACCTCGGTCGAGTTGTGTAGCTCGATCGAGTTGCCCTGGTTTCTAGCTCGATCGAGCTATCGGTCGAGCTGGCTCCTTTGACACCTAAACTTAACTTATTCAAAGGTTAAAAACATAAAGATAGATAGAAATTGCATAAATAGAGTATGTACAAGGATAAACATGGGACTTCCTCCCAAGTGAGCTTGTTTAAGGTCCCATAGCTTGACCTTTACCTTTTAGGCATTGGTTGAGCTAGTCCCACCATCAAGGGTGATAGTGAGGACTTGAGACAGAAGCTCCTTTAGCTTGGTTGGGTCCCTGGACTGTTCTGAAGTCACCAAGGCCTTGGCTCTAGAGAATGGCCTTGATCTCCCCTTGTACCTTATCTTGTACTCAATCTTCCCATTTTCAAACTTGGTGGGGAACAAAGTCATTGTGATTGTGTTTATATACCACTGATTGCATTCCACTCATCTCATTTCATATCTTTTCACATCCACACACAAATCCTATCATCAATTTGGCGCCGTTGCCGATTTGGGAATATTTTTGTTGCATTTGAGTTTCAAACACACTTGGACGATCAAGCTATACCACCCCTGTTCTATTGTACTGCTGGGTTTTTGTCTCTTTTTGCAGGTGTATGCGAACTCGATCGAGTCGGTCTACTGAGGACTTGGTCGAGCTAGACTTACAACGGGTAGAAAGAGGGTTCAGAGGTCACAGAGGGTACAAGAGGAACCTGAGGTGCTTGTTGCTGATACAATGGATGTACCAGAGGGGAATGGAAACCCTTTGGGTAATGGACTCGGTCGAGCTAGGCAAACTCGACCGATTGGTCAAGGAGATGCTCCAAACCGCCACCAACAGAGACAAGGGATTGTTCCACCACCAGTGCAGAACCACAACTTTGAGATCAAGCTGGGAATGATCAACCTTGTCCAGAACAAGATGTTCCATGGATTGCCAAGTGAAGACCCCATTGACCACCTTGATGAGTTTGATAGGCTTTGTGATTTGACAAAGATCAATGGTGTCTCTGAAGATGCCATCAAGCTGAGACTCTTTCCTATGTCTCTAGCTGACAAAGCTCACCAATGGGAGAAGAGCTTGCCCCATGGCACAATCACCACTTGGGATGAATGCAAGAAGGCCTTTCTTGCTAAGTTTTTCTCCACCGGTCGCACAGCCAAGCTTAGAGGAGAGATATCCAGCTTCATCCAGCGAAACAATGAGACATTCGCAGAGGCTTGGGAGAGGTTCAAAGGCTACACAAGTCAGTGCCCACACCATGGATTCAACAATGAATCCTACTCTCCACTCTTTATAGAGGATGCTTGCCTAGGTATAGGGAGATGCTAGACACAGCTAGCAATGGGAACTTCCTCAACCAGGATGTAGATGATGGCTGGCAACTTGTGGAGAACATAGCTAACTCAAATGGAAGCTATGGAGAAGAGTATGATCGCACCAACCGGAGCTCGACCCACCACTCGATCGAGTCAGACGAAAAGTTGAGAAAAGATGTTAAGGCATTGAATGAGAAGTTGGATAAGCTGATCCTAGCTCAGTCCACAATGAAGAAAGTCAACTTTGTGTCTGCTGAGGAGATGGAACCAGTCCAAGAAGGGGAGGATACACAATTTGCTGAGGTGTGCTACATGAGCAATGGGCAAGGAGGTTACAACAAAGGATACTATAATTACAAGTCCAACCCTGCCATGTCATACCGCAACACTGATGTTGCTAACCCTCAGGACCAAGTATATCCTCAACAACAAGCAGCTCGATCGAGTCAGGTGCCACAACATGGGTATGGTCAAAAGAACAATTACCAAGGACCACAAGGCACTTTCCCTGGACAACAAATGAATATCCCACCAGGCTTCCCCCACCAACCGCCCCAGCCTGCACCTTCACAAGAGAATGAGCTCAAGGCAATGCTAAAGCAACTACTTCAAGGGCAAGCTGATGGGGTAGTGGACACAAGCAAGAAGCTAGCTGAAATAAACTCTAAGATCGAGAACCTCAACACAAGGGTTTACTCTCTGGAGAATCATGCTTCTTCTGTTGCTGCTGCTACAAAGCAAGGACAACTACCTGGTAAAGCTATTCAGAACCCCAAGGAACAGTGCAAGGTCATCTTCACTCAAGAAGGACTTGTTGAAGAAGAGGATCAAGAAAGGGTCATTGAAGATTTTTGTTTACTGCTGAATGATGAAGAGATTGTTGCTGCTGAGGCTCCTGGAGTCCAGATTGATCAACCAGAAGTGCATGCACCTACTGTGGCCATTCACACTTCACCAGTTGAGCTCGCACGACAAGCTCGATCGGCAGCTCGATCGAGTCCAACTCTAGCTCGATCGAGTCCGACCTCTTCTGTCCGACAGCCTGTTTTGCTTGATCCTTATCAACCGGTTGCCGCTTCCTCGTCTCGCCTACTTAGTCAAGGTCACAAGGAAGTGATTCACAAGTTCAGAAGAGATCTCAGTGGGATTGGAATTGAGTTGCCTCCTATGGATAGCATGAGTGAGGCATTTGATCAAATGCAAATGGTCAAGGATGTTCTAGCCAACAGTGATAAAGTTTCAGAGGTCCTACAAGAGTCTACTCATCAGTTCAACCTGCTTACTTCACCCACCTTCCTACCAAAGGTCAAGGATCAAGGGAAATTCACTCTCCCTTGCACACTTGGGCATCTTGAGATTGACAATGCCTTAGTGGATTCTGGAGCAAGCATCAATCTGATCTCTCTCTCCATGGCAGAGAAGCTAGGCATGCTGGAGCCTTGCAGCGCCCTACTACTTCAATCATGTTTGGAGATGCAACTTCTAAGTCTCCTCTTGGAGTGTTCAAGAACTATCACTTGAAAATTGGAGAATGCATCATCCAAACTGATCTCACTGTGATGGAAATGGAAGAAGAGAAGGATTTGCCTTGTTATTGGGAACCCCTTTCCTTAGTACAGTTGGCGCTTCAATAGACTTTCACAAGCAAGAAGTGATCCTTCACAAGGTGAATAGTTTGGTGTCATATCGCTTGCAGCCTAGAGGTTCAGACTTTTGTGCCACAATTGACAGTACCACTCTCAGTTCTAAGAGTCATGGAGCTACAAAGGTTGTGAAGGAAAGGGTTGACAAGGAACCAAGAGTTGGGAAGGATAAGGATGAGAGAGGACCAAGGATTGAGAAGCCACGTCTTGAGAGGGCTAGAGTTGAGAAACCACGATCTGATAGGCCAAGAGCTGATAGACTTGTTCAAGCCCCTTGTGTGCTTGATGAAGAGAGCCTTCAAGCTTTGTTTGATGAGCCACTAGGAAGGGCTCTAAAAGAAGGGGAGGGATGATAAAAGAAAGGATCCACCAGCTCAGGCCCCTTCAGTCAAGCCATCTCAGCTCACAATGACTTTGTTCCCCACCAAGTTTGAAAATGGGAAGATTGAGTACAAGATAAGGTACAAGGGGAGATCAAGGCCATTCTCTAGAGCCAAGGCCTTGGTGACTTCAGAACAGTCCAGGGACCCAACCAAGCTAAAGGAGCTTCTGTCTCAAGTCCTCACTATCACCCTTGATGGTGGGACTAGCTCAACCAATGCCTAAAAGGTAAAGGTCAAGCTATGGGACCTTAAACAAGCTCACTTGGGAGGAAGTCCCATGTTTATCCTTGTACATACTCTATTTATGCAATTTCTATCTATCTTTATGTTTTTAACCTTTGAATAAGTTAAGTTTAGGTGTCAAGGAGCCAGCTCGACCGACAGCTCGATCGAGCTAGAAACCAGGGCAACTCGATCGAGCTACACAACTCGACCGAGGTAAGTTTTTGAATTTCAAATTCATAACCGTTTTCTTGGTCAAGGGAGTGGGTCCCACAAGCTGATTTTGGTCCCCCACTACCCTAATTGATCAGAGAATCCCTAGCTTCTTGTTCCCTCTTTATTTCATCTTTTAATCTCAACCACACATCTCAAACACCCCTCTTCCCCATAACTCGATCGAATCCCCCTTCTCTCTCTCCCACACTTAAAATTTCTGAAATCATCCTCTCTCTCTTCACCACAAGAAATTTCGAATTTCTCTCTTTCTCTCTTAAGTTTTTGCGATTTCTCTTGTTCTTCACATTTGTTTGGGTTTAGTTTACTGCTCTTCAATTCATCATTCAAGCAAGGTATGAACCCTTTGATTCCCCATCTCGATTTCCATTATTGCTTGTTTCTCTTTGATTTTTGATTGCATGTGTCCCTTGTGGACTTGTTCTTGAGTAATTGCTCATATTTCTCTGCTGTATATCTTGTTGTTTGTTTCACCTCACCTCTGTTTTGCCTTTAAACTTGTTGCATGTGCTTGAAATTGAATTTGAGTTTGGTATTGGTTAAGATGCTTATGCTTCACTAGAATTGCTCATTGTTCCATTTACTAGTTGTTCTTGGTTCAATTTGATTGATTAGCATCCTTTCCAGCTCTTAATCTTGAATTAGGTTTGGTTATACTCTGTTTTCACCCAACTCGATCGAGTTTGTCACTCGAGTTTTTTGACTCGATCGAGCTGAGTGTCGAGTTGACCAAACCGATCATTACAACTCTAATTCTTTGTAATCTTTGATGCATTTCAGGTACTTTAGTGAAGAAACAGAGTAACAAGATGACAAACAGTGAGGGAAGGTGCTTCACAGAGGAGAATGGTTGAGGGTGATCAAGCAATGCAAGAGAAAGAAGGCTTAAGATGCAAGCCGATTTGGAGAGGATGATCAAAGAGATGGAAGTCTGATGCAGAGGATATGTCTACTCTGAGGACAGTCTGAGAGTGAGAGTTGAGGGAAGAAAGGAGAACCAAGAAGAGGAATGACCCATTAGTAGTGAGAGTGAGCAAGGGGAGTTTGAGATTGGAGTGAACCTTGTTCAAGAGGGGGAAATGGCTCTCCAATGAAGAAGGAGTGATGAACTGAGAGTGAAGAGGAAGGAGAAGAGGTGAATCAATTGGTTGATGAAGATGACAAGAGGGAACCAAGATGAGCCAATGGAAGAGGCTGAGCAGAGCAAGAGGAGGATGAGCTCCCCATGTACCAAGAGCACTACAATGCTCTCTTCTCCATGGACTTTGTGGAGACCAAGTACCCACATGATGACACATGAGGCCCTTGGAATCTTTGAGGATGTGGAGTTGGTCAAGAACATGCATTGGCCAAGTTCTTCTCTCACCGCATGGAGTCTACAAGGAGCTCACTTGTGAGTTTTTGGCTTCAATGAGGTCACATTTGATGAGCTCGATCGAGCTGAGTTGGACCAAGGCTGGGGGATCACGTTCTTGGCTAAGGGAGAGAAGAAGATGGTGACCTTTAGGCAGCTTGGAGATCTGTTTGGGTTCACTATGGAGAAGGAACCAAGTGGAACATCAAGGAAAAGGAACTCCAAAGAGTTTGGGCTACAATCGCTGAGGGGTACTCTTCCTCAAGGTCCAAGGCTGCTCAGATCAGGAGCCCAGTGCTTAGATATGTGCACAAGGCTCTTGCCAACACCTTCTTTGCAAGGAAAGGCCACTGGACAATCAATGAGGGAGAAGTCAAGCTCCTTGACATGGGAATCAAGCCCATCATCTCACGCACAAGGATGGGAAGAAGATCAGAGGAGATAGGGCACACGCAGGGAACTCATGCCTCTCCTTGAGCAGCTCCAACCTACAAGTCACAGCTTACAACACTAGGCACCAAAGAGGAAGAAAGCTTAGTGTTGGAGGGTCATCACACCTATCTTTGTGCTGCTGGAGTCAACTGGACAAGAGAAGGTCTACTCCACCAGGTTGGATGGACATCAAGTTTTGCAAGACCAACCTCCTCATTGAGCACAAGGAGTTGGATGGGAGATTCCAATTCAAGTTCACCATCCATTGGCTGGACCCTCCAAGCTTCTTCCTGCCCAACCCTGAGCTCACCACAGTCTAGGGGTGAGAACATTGATTTCAGACCCCCTGTGTACACATTAGTTGGGCATGAAGGGATTTGCAAGAAGAAGAGATCGAGCTCGATCGAGCTGAGGATCGAGCTGAGGATCAAGCTGAAGATGAGGTCCAGGAAGCGCTGATTTGGGTGAGCCTGAGTGCTATTACTTTGAGGAGTATGAGGCTCCAAGGATGAACCCCTCTGTTGTGGCTGCCACAAGAGGATTGGACTTCTCCAAAAGTTCAACAAATGGCAAGGGAAAGCCATTGAGAAGATGCAAAAGTCCATGGACAAGATGGTGAGCAAGATCAAAAGTTTGGAGAAGAAGGTTTCTGGTTCTTCAAGCAAGAAGAAGAAGTCCAAGGCCCCCACATTCCCTAGGAGTAGATCACTCCTCACCACTCCAAGGAGGCTCCCTGCCCAAGAGCCTCACAGAGCCTCTTCTTTCGAGCCAAGGGAAGGAGAAGACAACACGCAGAGAAGGAGGAAGACTTCCAAGGCCAGACGCTCCAGCTCGACCACCGGACTCGATCGAGTCCAAACAGAGGAAACTCAACTCGATCGAGCTGACGGTCGAGTTGACCTGGAGGAGCCCCAGTTTGAGATCCGGGATTTGATACGATCCCATGCCTTACCAGGAGCCTCTCCAGTAGATGGAACCCCTATGGACAGTACGAGCTACCAATGCTCCACCAAGGCCAAGGAAGCCACACACTTTGATGAAGAAGAGGAAGAGGAGCCGCAAGCTCGATCGAGTGAGCCACAAGAGGCAACCCAGTTGATGGAGTGCTCCTGATGGCCGTCTCCCATCTCCAGACCACGACCTAGTCTCCCAGTTCTTTGGGGGACACTGAGGTATCCAAACACCAACCCTTGTATATACCATTTCATATTTTCTTGCATTTGTTCTTGTTTTTTCTTGGTTTTGCCCTCTTGAATCTTTCACTAAATTTTTCTCACACAAGGGACTGTGTGATTTAAGTTTGGGGGAGGGTTCAAGAGATGATTTAACCTTGTTTTCTTTGTTCTTAGTTTTTCATTTATCTTTTGCATAGAAAAACCAAAAAAATCATAAAATTTTCAAAAAATCCAAAAATATTTTCATCTTTTTGCATTCATATTTGTTAGACTTGTTTAGGATTGCATTTTTCACTTGCATTGTTGATTTGACTTTGAAAACTTGTCCATCTTTTGCGATTTCTTGAGTGCCCTGTTTTTAGATTCTTTTGTGCATTAGGGTGAGATTGATTGAGCAGCAAGAACCATGTTTATCTTGATCATATCACTGCATGCACATCTCATTCAACCATTGCTGTGATTTGATGCATTTCCCTATCTATTTGAACCATAACTTGATCTTTAATTACCAATGCTTGCATTTGATTTCAACTCATGGCTACCACATACATATCTGGACATTCTTTACCATTTTCATATCCCTTTTGCTTGTCCAGATAGCTGATCTCTATCTTTGAGACAGTTACCACACCTTAAACCTAAGCCTTTTCATTTCAAACCCCTTATTATCTCTTGTGCGAATGTGAGAACCTTTCTTGGCTTTGCTTAGCATAAGGTGTTGTGTTTAAACCGGCAGGGGCAGTAGTTCTAGTTGTCTAGTTCTCTTGGGATTGTTTTCAGGCTAAGTTTGGGGGTGCCAACTCGAGCTCGATCGAGTTGGGTGTAAAAACCAGAAAAGTGGTAAAAGTTGGGAAAAACCCAAAGGAAAAAGAGTTTAGTTAAGTCCAGGGAGTTGGCAGTGTTAAAAAGGGTCTAGTAAAGGTTTGGGAAGTTAAAAAAGGAAAGTAAAAAGGGTTCTAAGTAGAATGAAAAGAAGGCAAAGCCTCAAGTGTCCAAAAAGGAAAGAAAAGTTCCCTAAGTGTTTAGAAAATCCCAAACCGCTAGATGTTACCTCAAGAAGCCTCTCCCTAGGAAGTTCTTAAAAGAAAAGTGAGCAAAGCTCCTCAGTTTCAAAGGCGAAATGCCAAAAAGGGTAGTTAGGATTTTGTTCTAAAAAGCTCTAAGTGTTGAACTCGATCGAGTTAGGATTAGGCGGCTCGAGCTGCTGTTCTTGCATCATCTTTGGTTCTAACACTTAGCCTTCTGCCAAAGCAAAGCCACTTTCTTGAGAGATCCCTGTTACTAAACCACCATACAAAAGAGACCCTCTTTGTCTCTTAACCCATAAACCCTTGAAACCAAATGAGTTGATTGATCTTGCATGTTTTTGGTTCACTGTTTTTGCTTAATGAATGTTAAAGGGATTTGCTGATTTGAATGCATTGTTTGAGTGACTGTGAAGTGGGATTGATGTTGATAAGCATGGTTAAATCTTAATGAATATCTCTCACCTTGTTGCATTCTAGAATCTCTAAGTTGGACATTTAGCAAATCGCTTTTGAGGACATGTTTTTAAGTGTTGAATCAGCTTATTTTCAAACCTCATCTCTTTCTTGTTCTATTTGTTTGCTTGAGGGCAAGCAAAGTTCAAGTTTGGGGGTGTTGATGTACTTGCATTTTACATAGTTTTAGCACATCTTTTATGCATCTTTTGCATAGTTTTAGCTTCCATTTGCATCATATCTTGTTCCTTTTCTCTTCTTATGCATTCATGTTAGTTTTAGGTTGCATTTGCATACATATGCATGTTTGGTCCTTTGAAATAGGTCTTTTGGAGCATTCTGGAGCATATGGGACAAGGAGCATGGAGGGACTTGGCACATGGAGCAGCTCAACTGGATACGCAAAGGAAGAAGGGAGAAGCCATCTTGAAGACCAGCTCGACCGTCCACTCGACCAACCGGTCGAGTTCCTCAACTCGACCGGCCAAGCTTCAACTCGATCGAGCTGGAAGTCAAAGTCAAACCCGAAAAATGTTGCTTCCCCCTTGACTTCCCTTTGACCCTAAACCTAATCCTCTTTGTATTTAAAGGCTCTAGCCACGAAAAAACCACCAAGCTTTAGATTACTTTTGTTTTAGCTCTTTTAATTTATTGTCTTTTACTTTTTAGAGATCTAATCCTCTCT